TGCAATATAAAAATGGTTGGGTTTGAGACCAGAAATACACAATGACAGGCTAAACACATTCCTGTTGGCAATTTTGAAGCTCAAACAAGTAACAGATTATATCCTAATATGCAATCACCACATATAACAGGGAATGTCAAGGAATCTAGTGATGCTATTGCTCAGGCCATTATCACTCCGCCAAACTTACAATTTCTACATTTCTGTTAACTTCGTAGCATGTGTGAGCAAGGATGGAAATCTATTCTAACAAAAGATAGAATCTTGCAGGAATTTGTTCAACCAGGTTATCGAAGAAGGCAGAATATTCACAAATTAAAGATTTGAGATCGAAATCTGAATTAGGTTTTGAAGTACCAAGTTTTTTCTTCATTCTTATGTGACTAAAGATTGAATTTTTTTAGTTTTGTTTTTCAGTGAAATCGTAAACCCTACATTCTGCTCAGAGGTTATAACTTGAGAAAGTAGGGCTGGACTGCTGGAGTGATGGACGTAGTAGTGGGCTCTGACCCATATTCCATTTGACCCGACCAAGTACACTTGATGTTGGATTTTAGGATACCCGAATATAAAATGGGTCGGATGTATTTTTCACAGCTTTAAAACTAGACTTTGGTCGAGGTGGACTATGGATCCAGGATCCGATGCCAATTCACATTATCTCACTGATCACAATTTAAAGGCTTAATTTATATTTTCACAATACATAAATAGACCGGCAACCTAAAAGCCTATGTATTGTATGGGCCAAATGTCTGGTTTGTTAAATAATTCTAAGCCCACGAACTAGACACAAATTACGTCTATTTTAAATTATTTTGGATTGTTAGAAAAAAAAAACATATATTTTAGATTTAGCTTGATTATGGTCTGAATGGGATTTATTTATTACCAATATTAAGTTTATTGTAAATTATATTGGGTTGATCTTGATTGTACATGTGATTTGGTCCACTTAAAAGTTGTTTCCACGTAGTTACAAATATAACTAAACTTAATCTTTTCAATTGGCTTGTAGAAACTGGCAAGTACGAACCGCCATTGCTTTTATGTGCACGTTACACAGATTTAGGAGCAAGCAGTTATTGTTCCTATTACAAACGTGAGCTATCGCTTTAACATAATCAAGCGATTCAAAATTAGTAAATTTAAGAAACAATTTAGGATTTAGAAGATTGTTGTCTAACTGAATGGCATTTGGAAGGATGCTGAGTAACTTTACTCGTCATGTGAAATTTGGAAGGATGCTGAGTAGCTATAATTAAAGGTACTCAGAAGTTATAGATACCCTATTCCCAACAGTAAGGAATTATTGGAATGGTAAGTGACTGAATTTATGAAAATGGCATTGCCTTTGAGTTTTGCTGCTTCGAGTTTAAACACGTGAACCAGTATAAAATTTAATAATTAGAGTAACAATTTAAACAGTAGTATCGGAATCTCAAAAAGTGAAGTATTAACAGTCTTCATAAAACGTGTAAGATAACATAACTCTACCAAGAGTATACACAAAACAAAAAATGAGGATCAACTCAGTAGCAAATCAGTTCTCAGACATCTAAGGAAAAATAAGCTCTTTTATGGCCACTGCAAATGCCTCTGAGAAACAAGCCATAAACATCCTTGTGAAGGGGAAGAAGCAACCAAAGCATCACTCAAATCCACGAAGAACTGAAAGGAAACTGTAGTTCTTTCAAAGTACCTCCATTAAGTTCCACAAACAGCAATGCTTCCTTTCACCTGATTCATTTTCATTCCAATCCAATGCACTTATCAACAAAACTGCAAATCGTTTGTAAACTCATTCAAGGATGAATGAATGCCTATATTTGAGTATAAAGCTAGCCATAACAAATAATTAAAAACTTCATGCCATTAAAATAGTTGTAATAGACTTTCTAGAGAATTGGATCAGAGTCCTGGCTTGATACATCTCATAAAGAGATATATAAACGCATATTATAATCAGTGTCGATAATATGGGGAAAGGATCATCACTTCCATCTACTCTTTCCTATTAATCAAAAAATTATGATCTACATAAAACATAACAAAAAACTTACATAAAACTGAAAACAGACATGCAATCTTAACAAACTAGTTGCAAATCAAGTCTTAGACATCCAAGGAAGGAATAAAACAGCACAAGCTCCCAAGCCTGGCAAAAGCGAAAGCACTTAGCAGCCACTGCAAATGTCTCTGAGAAACAAGCCTTGAAGATATCACCATAAATCTCAAAAGTACAAGTACTGTACTATCTATAAAAATGTTTACTGCTTATGTAAAAAGCGTTGTTCTGTTAAAAACAACAAGATGAGTTGATCTATATAGAAAAAAGCGAAGTACAAACAAAAAGTGTGGCCAGATTGCTTAGAGGAAGAGATCAGAGTCCTGGCTTGATATATCTCAGAAAGATATATAAACGCATATTATAATCATTGTCGATAATATGGGGAAAGGATCATCACTTCATTCTTCCTCTTCAACTACACAATATCCACATAAACATAAATAAAACCTAGAAATATTAGTAATAGTAATTGTCTCAGACATCCAAGGAAGGATTAAACAGCATTAGCTCTCAAGCCTGGCGAAGGCGAAAACTCTTGGGCGGCAACTGCGAATGTTTCTGAGAAACAAGCCTTAAGGATATCATCATAGACATTTCTCTAAGAATTAATAAATACCTTACAATGACAAAATCACACTTCAATCTTACACTTCAACCACACAATAATTACATAAACAAAATAAAACCTACAAATATTAGCAAGTTTAATCAAGTATTTATAAAAGATAGTCTCAGACATCCAAGGAAGGATTAAACAGCACCAGCTCTCAAGCCTGGCGAAGGCGAAAGCTCTTAGGCGGCAACTGCGAATGTTTCTGAGAAACAAGCCTTTTAAGAATATCATCATAGACATTTTTCTCTAATAAATTCAAAAATCTATCAATCTCTTACTAACTAAAAAGGATTAGTTTTTAACAAGGTATCATAATAGTTTCTATCAACATTGTGTCTATTAACAACAATAACAGAAAATCCACAAACAAACCCTAAGATTCTACAAAAGCAATACAGATTAATAACAATTAACTGCAGAAAGAAGCTGCCAGTGATACACAAAGCTCAACAAACTATTTAAGCCTGCAGCAAATAGAAAATCAAATAAGAAAAATTATATACCTAAACAGCCACCATTCAATACCATTCAGCACACGTGTTTATAACAAATTTCAAAAGCAGGGATTAGAACAAAGATAACAGCTTAACTTATTTGATCAATACAAGACCTATACAACAGATGCAGATCCTTAGTAATCACAAATTTGCTTAGAGAAAGAGATCAGAGTCCTGGCTTGATATATCTCAAAAAGAGAAATATAAACGCATATTATAATCATAGTCGATAATATGGGGAAAGGATCATCACTTCAATCATCCTCTTCAACTGCACAATAACTTAATAATCAAAAAATAAAACGTAGAAATATTAGTAATTTCAATAAAAACCTAAATATTTTATAAATATTGTCTCAGACATCCAAGGAAGGATTAAACAGCATTAGCTCTCAAGCCTGGCGAAGGCGAAAGCTCTTGGGCGGCAACTGCGAATGTTTCTGAGAAACAAGCCTTAAGGATATCATCATAGACATTTTTTCTAACAAACTCAATAAATTAACCTATAAACCCTAATTCTATTAAATTAAGCACTCAGAATGAAAAGGACTAGTTTTAATAGAATTTCAAAGATTTATCAATCTCTTAAACTATATATATCTATCCTCATTGTGCCTATTAACAACAAAACACAAAATTACAAATTTAAAACACTAAAATTTTAGAAAACAGATTGAATCTAATGATCAAAACGTTCAGAATGAGTAGGAGGATTTTATCCATTCATG